AAAACTAATAAGTCTGTGCAATGTTACAGACCATCTATGTACCAAGTTTCATTGAAATGTGATTAGAACCAAACAATTATGAATTATTATGCTAATTCGGGAATTTATATTAACAGATTTTAACCCAAAACTGATCAATCATGTATTTGTACATTGTCCTAGAGCATCTATGTACAAAGTTTCATTTAAAGGTGATGATTAGTACTCGAGATATCAATGAAAACGCTGAAAATTAAATAATTATGCAAATAAGTTAATTAATATGCACAATTATTTACCCCAAACTAATCAGATCTCTGCATAGTCCTAGAGGATCTATGTACCAAGTTTCATTGAAATGTGATGATTAGTACTTGAAATATCAAAAGCTGAAAATTTATTTATTATGCAAATTAGGTAATTAATATGTACTGATATTACCCTAAAAACTACTAGGTCTGTGCAGTGTCCTATGATATCTAGGTACCAAGTTTCATTGAAATGTGATGATTAGTAGTTGAGTTATCAGTGGAAAAGCCGAAAATTACTAATCATTATGCAAATTAGGTAATTAATATGCACAGATTTTCACCCAAAACTAATCAAAACCTGGCATTAGTTCAGAGCATCTATGAACCAAGTTTCATCAAAATCCAATGAGTGGTTCTTAGATATCGGTGGAACCGTCATGGAACAGCTATAAATTAGCTAAGTATCATGCAAATTAGGTAATTAATATGCATAGATTTTTACTAAAAACTAATCAAATCTGTGCATATGTTCAGAGCATCTATGTACCAAGTTTCATCGAAATTCAATGAGTGGTTCTTTAGATATCAATGGAACAGTCATGGAACAGCTAAAAATGAGCTAATTATCATGCAAATTAGGTAATTAATATGCATGGATTTCTACCAAAACCTAATCAAATCACACACATACAGTCAGGGTAACTGCAAAGTCTCCCATTGTGTGCTTTGCACACAGGAGTCAAAAATGATGTCAGAAACCTGCTAATAAATTAAAACAATCTGCTAATCAAGTAGATTGTTGAATTTTTAGAGGGCAACATTTTTTATGGTACATTATTACATATCAAGTACCAAATGACAAAAATATTCACTAAAAAAAGGATGTTGTCATAAAATGAACAAATCTGATAGAGGTTCACACATGTATCAAAACAATTGAAATTGAAAGTTTTCAGGAAGAAATCGAATATGGGCTTTTTTAAATGACAAAAACATTCACTAAAAATAGAGAATTAATGATATCTTCATGAAATGAACAAATCCAACACATAGGTAGCCCATGAATCACCAAAAGCACTTACATATCAAATATCAAGGCAATCAGTTTGATAGTTTTCAGAAAGTCTTACAAGCAGCCTCTCGGCTGAGATAGCTCCGCTGTTAGCAATGCACATTACAATTAAAGAACAGAAGATATCATTAGAAAATGAACAATATGTATAGTATCAATGCAATGGGACTTGCTGTTTTCAACAAGAATTCAAAAATATCATTTTTCACCATAAATGATTGTGATTTTTAACAAAAAGTTGAAAATATCACTTTTTACCAAAAATGACAAAAATATTCACTAAAACTAGAGAATTAAATATATGATTACAAAATGAACAAATCTGAGAGAGGTCCACATGTAGTACCTATATATGTAATATCAAAGCAATTGGACCTGAGGTTTTTAACAAGAAGTCGAAAATATCACTTTTTACCAAAAATGACAAAAATATTCACTAAAACTAGAGACATTACCAGAAATGAGTGGACAAGATGGCCGACTTCCGCCCTGGCCAGTGTTCCCCAGTCAAATAAACATCACAGGATGTGCCATAGAGAATGCATTGCATAAACATCTATTAAAACAAAATTTAATTTTGAGTTTATATTTTTCATTTTTTCACTTTTGTGTGCTTCGTAATAGACAGGTGACGTTCCAAGCTTTCGATATGTTATAGATGTTTCCATCAAAACTCCACCATTAAATGCCCAACTTGCCGTAAAACTTGATGATATATCCTACACTGGCCCAGTGTATTACCAATGGACGATATGTAATTGTGTGCTAAACTCTATTTTTAAAAATAGGTAAATGCAGTAACGCAGGTGACTGTTCAAGTTTGTTCGCTTCGTTCTGGATACTCTCTGGTTCAATGAACACGGCGACGCAGCCAACGCAGTTGTAGACGCAGTATTCGCTGCCCAAATTAGAGCTAAAATTCATGCATTTTTTACACAGATGTACGATCCAGTTGTTAGCAAATATAACTGTTTTAATCCAATTAACAACAGGAAGTAACCTGAATCAAGATTTAGTTTATGTCCGGCCGTTATTCCATGTTAAAAATTATCCCACTTTTCGAACGCGAAGCACTATCGCCATACTGCTTTTGATGCTGAAGGTCAGACCACAAGATCAATATATTGTATCGGCCGTTTTCCTCTTT